CAGACTCTCAATTGTTTCCTTTAAATCTACCACAATGATTACTAGATCATCTCTACACTGTTCTGCTTCTTCTAGTTCCACACTTAATACATCTTTATCATTTATGAGACTGTGATAAGCATCAATTAAAACATTTGCTAAAGACATAAGTTTTTTCGGAGAATAAGACTTTAGATTTCTTTGAACATCCAGAAAATTTACCTCATCATCATCGTCGTCATCTCCATCATCATTAAATTGTGCCATCAAGCCAAAAATGAATTCATACTTAGCTGTTTCATTTTCCACTACCATCATAGAGCTGTTACCTTGATCATCATCTTCTTCAGACTCGCTGGAAGAGTCTCCCCATGCAGTAAGAGCTTGTTTCACAACGTTATCAGCGACATTTTCCTCTTGAAGCGTTTATGAAATCAGGTTCCTCTTGGCTACTTTGTCAATATTGTTTTTGTACTGGTCTTGATTTAGGAGAGGGAAATCCTAGATGAAGTGTCCTAGCTTACCGTACTTACGACATAAGTCATAATCTTTTGGCTTGCTGGAGCTCCCCCTTTTTGGAATGCCTTCATTCTTGCGAACCATCTTCTAAAAATATTTTGTCAGGTAAGCCATATCAGCATCCTCGCCACTTAAATCATTGCTGTCAGTTTCTTCTTCTTCTTATTCTTCTTCTTATCATTATTTTTCATTCTGAAAAGCTTATATTCAGTTGTAAGCATGCCAATCATTGATTGCTTGACCTGTGTTGTTCCCTCATGGGCTATTTAAAGAGCTTCCCAGATTTCCTTTGCTGATTGGCATGCCGATATCCTGTTATATTCATCAGGACCAATGCCACAAACAAGAATTTTCTTTGCACGAAAATTCTTTTTTATGGCCTTTCGGTCAGCATCATTGAATTCCTTTTTTTTGTTTTGGGAATAGTTACAGCTGGGTTGCCAAGAGTCTTGGTAGGAACAAAGGATCCATCACAGATAACATCCCAAAGCTCAGAATCTTCAGCCATGATGAAATTGTGCATCCTAGTCTTCCACCATCCATAATATTGGTCGTTGAACCTTAGTGGTTTTTAAGTAGACTGGCCTTCTTCGAAGTTTGGCGGAGGATCCATGAGGATCCTTTCTAGGTGTTAGCCGGATAGAAAGAACTTGCTTTAATACCAATTGATAGAATTTAAAGGTCCACCAAACTAGATAGAGAACCAAGTTCTCTATTTGTTTTCACAAGTCACACGCACACTGCAGTAAGTAAATGACACAGAAGAATTTTACGTGAAAAATTTCCAGCTCACGAGATAAAAAACCACGACCTACCTTTGTAGAATTTTAACTTCACTACTGAGCAACTTTAGATTACAACCTATGTAACCTAGGAATTAACCTCTTAATCTCTTATTAACTTGTAACACTCTATTACAAGCCACTTTATAATAACTCTATTACAAAGACTTTATAACTCGACTAACTCTAGCCAAGACACAAACACAAGGGTTTATGATTTACAAAGGGTTTCCTACGCAATGCTTCTAACTAAGCTAAGTAGGAATTACAAGTAAAAAACTTCAACAAAGGTACAACACAACTAAGGACATATAATAACTCAATACGGGGAACTGGTCCGTTGCTATGTTGTTTTTTATTCTTGATGCCCTAAAGAGTCACTTGCAATATTGATGGATGACTTGAGAGAATAGTTGATCAATTCTTGAATGTGCAAGTAATTTGTTTTATCTTGCTTGATGTTAATAATTCATTTGTGACATCACTTTGAATGATGTAAGCAAGTTAGATAAAGGGCATTCCCCATAAAGTTGACTGCTGCACTGTTTATGTACTGTACTATGTGCAGGCAACAACTTTACAACTGGGGCAGTTGACTTGTACAGTCTCCTCGGAAACTGGTAGCTATCTGTTCCCTCTGTTGTTCCTTTGACTCTGAAGAGTTGAACTGTGTCCCCCAACTGGAGACTTGTTGATCGTTAAGTTCTTGAGGATGTGTATCGGGTTCCTTATCTGGTTCTTATCAGTAGGTTTATTAGATCATCCATATATAACAGGGATATACATATAACCTATCAAGAGGCAAAGCCCGCAACTTTTAGAGCTATTTTACCTGTATAACTGGCCCATTAAATTGCCCGAGAAGTTGTCTTTATTTACTAAATTCTCTTATGGCATTCAAAGTAATAATATAGAAAAATAGTGGCAAAATATAAAAGCCTAAGCAAGCATGTTGATGACACTGACTCCTGATGGAGCTTAACTGCCGCTTCTATAATAAGAGAAAAAAAGAACGACAGTCGAGTAAGTTAAAAAAATAAACAACTCAGCAGCTACTGAATTATCTTGATATTCCCAACAGACACATAGAAAGTTGGTAGAAAATGACAAGAAAACTCAACACTCCTGGTGTGTACGTAATAATTTTTGTAAGCGGTGTCACAATTTATAGAAGAATTAAAATAGTAACTTTAGTTATCATACTTCTATACAATAAATAACTTTTGTTTATTAGTTTTGTTGAGTATTAAGTTAGAAAAGACAATTTATGTTAAGTGGTGTTAGTTTTTCCTATTTATTCATTTACTCACAGTATTAATACATATATTTAGTTAAAAAATTCGACGAAGCGATATCACGTGGCACTGCTATGTTTAGCATGCATCCATCCCTGCAACACTCTGAGCATTGATATAAGTTTTTAGGGTTACACTTGATTGGCTATTTGATATTTTAATTTATTTGTGTGAATTTGATTCCTCACCTTATAATCTCATTCCCCTATTTCCCCTTTTCATATCCCATTTTTTTTTTTAAAAAAGAGGTTCATAATATTGGACAGTACTCGTAGTTGTAGTAACTAGCAACCAATCTTTCTAAGGAATATTCAATACTATATTGTATTAAATTATTTTATCAGATAGTGAGAAAATCTCATAAGTAGAATAGTTTGAATGATAAAAATCAACATGAGGCAATGCTTTTTATGATAAGTTTAGTTTCTTTTGCAGTCGTCCGCAGAAGCGGATCCAGAATGTAAACTCTATGAGTTCAACTTTTAAGGTTTTAGTATTGAAGTTTCACAATCTAGAATTCTCATCATCAGGACCATGATGGCTCCTAACATTTCACTTGCCAGACAAGCCAACGTTAGAATATTTTTTTTAAATCCATTTTTAACAGTTTAATTTTACTTAATGAGAATGAACTGAAACTACTGCAATAATTCAAAGTAATAATGCGGAAGCTAAAATAACCAAATATTTAATACATCTCTGGACCCGGTGTCACAAATGCATGAGCTACTAGAATAGTACAAACAAGGGTCTGAAATAACATAAAGATGTCTGAAAGGAAAGTACACAGCCAAATAGAAAGGAAATGAGACTCTAGGAGCTGTGGGCGCTGAGCAACTGTACCTCAAGTCTCCACAAGCTGTCCAATCCGAGCACGCTAATATCCGCCGCTAGGACTGACTCCAAAATCTGCACAAGAAGTGCAGAGTATAGTATGAGTACAACCGACCCCATGTACTCTGTAAGTGCCGGGCCTAACCTCGACGAAGTAGTGATGAGGTTAAGTGACGAGTGTCTAGCGTATATAAAATTCTAACTCGTACTATGTAAAATAATAGTATAGAAAGATATCGAACCCATAGAGATTGGTTTATCTATTGTACAGACGTTTCTTGTTTTAATTACTATTTGAGAAAATCAGAAAGAGTTGAGTTGTGACTTATCTAACTAAAAATACATGGATAGAGCAATAGAAAATATTTTGCTTTCCACAAATATAATAAAAAGGTGTTAGGATCTTGACTTCACTTAATATTTCTATTATATAGCAGAATTAATATTCCTCAATTTTTATTTCTAAAAAAAGTATAAATGCCTCTCACGATTATAAATATGTATTATTACTCAAGTTGAATAATTAATTGCACTCCTCTCAATTACACAAATTAATCTTCAAACTAGTAATACTAAAGAACTAGAAAGATATGATTGAACTAAAACATGTTCTAGTTAATAAGTCCATTTCTGTTACCCTACTTGTTATAACTAATTATTACACTATTCGCCTCTCTCGATTACAAATAAGTGTAAAAATTAATTATAACATAAAATAGATAGATGATACTAAATAAATATTAACATCTATCAATACTACAATTAACTATATTATTTCTTCCGTCTCTCTCGATTACAGAATTAATAAATAGTTAATATAAAGTACAAGATAGATAGATATTAATAAATCAAAATGTCTAACTGTAAAAGCAAATAAAAGTTTAAATAAAAAGTTTTAGCTCAACCATGTGAATTTGAGGAATAATATCTACTATTATATAGAAATATTAAGATCTGTCTTTCTCCCAATACAAGAAAAGTTACTCCATATTGGAATTAGTACTAACAATGAAAATATTCTCGTCCATTAAATAAGAAATAGAAAGAAATATTCAAGAAGAATAATTCTCCCTATTTAATTAAAAGCAGGAAGTAGAGTAATTTTCTACACTGGAATCTATTTAGAAACAACAACTAAACCACTATTGTGATTTAAAAGAAAAGATAACTCGATACTAGTGAAAGAAATAAACATAGAAGCTTATTAAGAATTTGGATTCAAACTTCTAGCTCTAAGCTTTCTCTCTACCGGGACAGATAGAGTTAGAAGAAAAACGCACTATACTTTTCTCTAAATAAAGAAGAAGATGCATTTATTTCTTATGAAAGAAATTAGTAAAATTAAATGGAATAGAAAATTAATCAAACTAATAAAATTCTAAGTCCTGAAATGCAAACTCTTACTATATGTTATGATTTACTAAGCGCTCAGTGAGCTTATTGTGCACTAATTCTGTATATTCCCTGATGACGAAATAAAAAAAAGGAAATTCCAATATAGTGTTTTTTGGGTAGAAAAGATAATTATATTATAATTAAAGGGCCGTTGCTTTCACTCAATTAACATCGTTTCGTACTCGGTCAGCAACGGCTACCGTCACACTGCCTAAAACCTGGGAGAATCACAGAGCCTGACTAGAGTGCCTCCACTTTACTACAGTTTCCATATTCATAAATTTGGAAGAGGAAAGAAAACAAACTCCCAATTCCAAATTCATATTTCTGCTCTTCTTTCACAGGTAATATCTTAATGAAGGGTAAAATAAATTTGCATTCAAATGATTGTTTCTTGCTTTATGTGCATGTTTCTGCGTTTACTGTTCCTGCCAATGTTGATAAAAACTGCACAAGTCCCTTCAATTTCTGAGTGAGTTCACATGAAATGTAGCAACTGGAGTTTGTGAAAGTGCTCACCTTTGGCAAATTTAAACGACTAAAACTACTCAATTAAGGATATAGTTAAGGAACCATTTTAGATCTACCCCACACGTTTTTGTCATTTTCTCAAGGAAATTACCAAGATAGTGAGATCCCATTTTCACTGGAGAGATCGATCCCATTTGGTTGATACCGAAGCGTTTGTGTTTTTATTGGGGTATAGAGATTTAGAAACTAAAGTGTAGCTACATTTACCTTTCGTTTAGGATATATTTAGACTATTTTGTAACGTTAGTTTTTGCAATGTCATGCTTACCTTCTTATGCGTTTAACTTGATTTGTCAATGCTTTTGCAAAAGGACTGTTTTACTCCCTATTGGATAATAACTTGTTAGGTTAATTTAAGTGTTTTTCTTCATCTATGAAGTATATTACAAAGATCAGAAGAAAAAGGGGAGTGCTAAAGCATAAAGATTCTTGAATTCTCCAAAATCTTCTTTACTTTCATCTGTATTGAAGTAATTGGTCAATGAAAATCATGTTATAATGCACCAACTGCTTAACTGTGTGGCGAAGTCAAGAATTTTGCTAAGGTGTTCAAAGTTTAATATATATATGTATAAAAGGTAAATTTTGATCTATATACATAGTATAATTTTTATATATACTCAGTGTAATTTTCCGATGAAGGGTGTTCAACTGACCAACGTTCACGCTATGTGGCTACGCCACTGAACTAGTGTACTGCTCTTATTAATTTCTCGCATTTTCATGTGTTACTAGGAAAGGCGAAGGGTGCTATTTCTTGATGTCTACAGTGGCCAATCCTGCAAACATATTCTGGCATGATAATCTAGTCGGTAAGACAGAAAGGGAAAAGCTGCTTAACCAACAGGGATGTGTTGTGTGGATTACAGGTCTCAGTGGATCAGGTTGGTGTTAATATGTGTTGTTGCTTATTATTTGTCTATTGTATCAGCTGTATCAAATTCATATAGTTTGGACGTGTGTTTAGAGGCAGAGGAAAAAATGCCATCCCATATTCAGTTTGACATTTAGTCTGAAGTCTGAACTATTATTATGAGGTGGTCAAAAGTTTCAGATGCTCACTCTTGCAACATATTTTTACCGTTAGTTTTCAAGATTCAATCTGAATTTATGCAGGAAAAAGCACAATTGCATGTTCCCTAGGTAGAGAATTTCAGGCAAGGGGAAAGCTTTCGTACATTCTTGATGGTGACAACCTTAGGCATGGTCTGAACAAGAATCTTGGGTTCTCAGCAGAAAGCCGTGCTGAGAATATACGTAGGACTGGTAAGTGTATTCTTGCAAAATATAAGTACAACAACCACGAGTTTAGTAAGTTGTCTATTAGTGAGACTTGTGATGCAAACAACTTGAGCAAACAATGTGTTGCATATCTGTTTACATATGACTCAATAGATTAATTCTAGATTTGGAAGCAAAATCCCGGCTTCAAAATCTCTCCAGTCTCCAGTCCCCAGGATTTCTTATTTCAAAATTTTAAGCTCAAAAACGACCTGTAAACACTTGGAGAACGTGATGGTTCTTTCACCTTCAAATTTAAGTCCACACTCCACTTCAGTTACATGAAAATGGAGTGTATAAAGGCGGTGATGGAGTGGGAATAGCTGCAGCCTTATGGGAATTGCGTGTATCTCAGGCTTTAGGCTCAGTGTCATCCTGAATAGGTGTAGTTAAGGGGTACCTTTTTATTTTCTCTTGGACTAATTGAATTACTCTAGGTACTTATCGGTTTGGCACGACACTTATTGGTAAACAGTTTGTGTTCCTGATTATCTGTACTATCTATAAATTTGATCAGGGGAAGTTGCAAAGCTCTTTGCGGATGCTGGATTAATTTGCATTGCAAGCCTGATATCTCCTTACAGAAAAGATCGAGATGCTTGTCGTGTGCTATTGCCAGATAAAAAGTTTATTGAGGCAAGTCTAATGTTCAACAATTTATTGTAGAATCTTTTGCATATCTAATGTTCCTTTTCTTATGACATTCCAGGTTTTTCTGAATATGCCTCTACAATTGTGTGAAGAAAGAGATCCAAAAGGCCTCTACAAGCTAGCTCGTGCAGGAAAGATCAAAGGTGTGTTTTAGCTTTAGGATAGTAGCCCATATTGCTTTTGATATCTGTAATCTGGAACCAGAGTGAATTATCTCATTAAGTAGTTGGCATCATTTACTGTAGTGCAGTGGTTTATATTTGCTTAATTGGTGGTGAAATGATATCTTTGACTTTATTACTGAATGAAATACTTCAAATTCTTATTTGCAGGTTTTACTGGAATAGATGATCCTTATGAACCACCTTTGAATTGTGAGGTATGTATTATATTACTTCCGCTGGCTGCTAAGCTTTGAAGAAATTGTTAACTCCCTATTGGTTTTCATAATCACTTGTGTTCAGAAATGATATCTTTCACTTTTTTCTTTTTGCTTCTCTTGTTAGATTGAAATACAACAAAAAGATGGACTAGTTCCTGCACCAAATGAAATGGCTGGGCAAGTAGTCTCTTATATGGAGGACAGAGGCTTTTTGGAAGCTTAGTAAGCGTGGCGTGCTTGCTGCAGATAACAAGAAAAGACTCAGCAGATGGAATTGCCGAGAATTTTTAGTTCTCTCCATCTGTTTCTAACATTACATTTGCTGTTTGATATCATCACTATCTATGTGCTACAGGGTTAGGAGGTCAGAGTACGGCTGGCTTGCTTCTTCCAATTAGTTAGATGTGTTACTTAGATGACGAATATGCTACCTGTCAATTTGCCACTTTCTTTAAGACAATGTTGAATGCCAGAGTCTCCTTATAAGTTGAAGGTTTTTCAAGCAGAGAAAACAAGAAAGTCGGCATTCCATGTTTTTATGGAGAAGCTACACTACCAAGGAGATATTCTTGTTGAACTCTCTTAGCAAATTAAAGGCATCTTCTGCTAAGGACTTGAACCAGTGGATTTAATTGGAATTATGCAGCTAGCTTGCTTATTTTTTTGCTCTTTAGTGATTAATTTACTTTTCACTTATCGGGAGTGAAATGATTCAGTCAAAGATATTCTTGCTTCTACGAGCAATTTTGATGCTAGTAATGATTTTGATGTTAGTGACTATATTGATCGTGACCTTGATACGAAGCTGGGACTGCTAATTCGAAGGAATGAGCTAACTATGGATGTAATGCTGGAAATAGACCTATTTTATATGGTGTCACACCTTCAACTTCAAGAATGTTATGACATGTTTGGTAGTGAATTGACAAAAAATAAGGTATGCTGAAAAGTTCCAAACACGATGCCAATACTGAATGATATCTGAAGTTAGAAAATGTATGTTCAGATCTACTTTTTCAAATGGAAGCTCACTGCTTTAGTAGTAATTCTTTAGTTTTATTTAATGATTTGAAACAACAACAACAACTCCCAGGATTAGTCACACATTTACTGGCTCTTATTGACTGATTATTAAATCATAAAAGAATAAAGAAAGACATGTTAAGTGCCGTCAAAAAGAAAAATAAGAGCTGTTTGCCAAATGTAAATGGCCTACGTCAATAAACCATCCACTTGGCCTCCAAATTCCAAAAAGTTGCTTTAGATTAAAAAGATAAGACGAAATCAAAAGCTAAAAGCAAGAATCAAATAGAGATTTGCAGCAAAAGAGACGGAGAAAAGCAATGGTTTTTAACAGTCCAGTGGTGGTGAGTGTGGCGAATTTATCTGCAGATTTTTGCCAATTTATAGCTTGCAATCCGGAAAGACTAAGCAGTGATCAAGTTCTTTATCTCCTCTTTTGTTACCCTTTTCAACAGCTTCATCGCTTCACACTCTGTCTCTGGACTTTCTTTTGTTTCCCTCTGCCTAACTCATCTCTCTCTTTTCCCTCCTCTGCTCTCTTTTAAATGTCACACCACATGCTACTTGAATAATGTTTGTTTTATAACCATCCCGATACTCACTGGCTTGACTAATCTGGATCCGTGCTGTGTATGCTCATTCTACTCGGACATCTTTGCTAAAGGGTGGAGGGATCCCATCAATCCAATACTCCCCTTGGTAGTTTCTGGAATAATGTTAATATATGCCCACATGTAGTACAGTGTCTGTAATAATGATCCTTTTTTTCCCTTACTAAGGAATATGTCATTTTGATCGTCTTACTATGATTTTCTTGTAACTCCCTGTTGGTTATGGGGGAAAGATTTTCTAGACTGGTTATGATATCTAAATTGGTTAAAGATTCAATTTTTGGCTGTTTCTTGTCAATTGAATGATCAGCTAATGGTTGTTGTAGATTTGATGAGTAATTATGTTGTTGCTTTAATTTGTTGTGTAAGATTTATTAGCGTAAAAATTCTTGGTTAATAAAACCTACTTGAAGGAATACCTTGATCAACTTATGCAGAGTTATGGATTCAAATTCGTAATTCTATCACCTTCATCTAATTTACTAGGTTCAAAAACTATTATTTGTATATATTTAGTGGATATTTGAGAAATATATATGGTCTAAGCCGAAAGTTATGGGTTCAGATGAACCCACAACTTGTTTACTGGATAAGCCCCTGAGCTTATGTGAATAACACTATCACAGAACAGGACTGAGCAGCATGTAAAGCATACAAAAGCACCTAGAACGGCCTAAAACAATACATTATTGAAATAGCTGTGTATTATCTTAACCAAACTCCAGTGTTACATAACATATGACTTTACTACAAATTGCTAATTGAATAATCTGGGAATTAAGTCCAGTATATATACAACGGTATATAGTATTCCTATGTTTGGACACTAGGATCGAATATTGAAGTGTTAAAATGATTCATGAGACTGATAAACAGTCTTGAATATGCTCCAAGGAGCGTAATAGTAACCCCTCAACGTCTGTGATGCGTTTGTTTGTTATAGGAACTCCTCTTACTCCACAAATTGCTTCATTCAACTTTGTTGGCTGCTCAACCACTTGCTTCATTTTCTGCAGTTCCACATATATATAACACTTTTGTTAGATCAGTGAGTTCATAAGACTGCACATGCATATGATGAATCATAATTGATAATATCAGTGTATTTCAACCTATTGCGCCAAGTTGTGTACTCTATTTTTCAGGTTACTATATCAAACTTAGTTATAAAATGTTGGTTCCCCTAAACAAAAGTTACTTTTAGGAAAGTTTTCCTAATGATCAATGCATAAAGCTTAGACCAAAAAAGGGAAGGGATCCCGCGTTTACGGAGAGTCCGAGGAAGGGCCACGCTGCGAGAGTGTGATGTGGACAACCTACCCTAATCAAGGGTGGATCTAGAGTTCAACATATGGGTTCACGGGGACCCAACAACTTTTGCTCAGACTCTGTTTATATATTAAAAAGTCCACTAAATATCTATAAATATTTGACTGTAAGCCGAGTTATTATTGTAAATTCTTGAAGTCAATTTTAGGATACATAAGCTTCAAATCCTCTGACCCTAATACAAGTTCTTCCAATTACATACTTGTTTTTGGCAAACCAGTAATATTGAGTGCTAAAGTTGTTGATGTTTAGATTCATAAAAAAGGATTCAAAGAAAATAATGGAAATTTAGTCAAACCTTGTCATCAGAAAATTGGAATTTAAGCTTCTGATTCTGCTTATTTTGTTTCTGTTTTTGGTGATTTCCTATGAAGATGCAAATGGCAGCAGCAGCAATCCCAAAGGAGCAAATAGCACCAATTCCAGTGAAGCTCCAGTTCCATAAGTTCAATCCACTATTGTTCTTTTCAATATCTGCTTCCATGTTTTCTCTTTTCTTGATCACAGTACTCTCTTTGTCAATTACCTCAGCGTTATCCTCAAACTGCAAAGGATCTGAATCAATTTGAGACACACAAGTCTTGTTACTGAACTTGGGTGAGTCCAATTTCATGTTTTCATATTCTGTTTCCTTCATTTTCTTGAAGAAAACTTGTGACACTTGATCTTGTTCATTTTCCACCACAGTTGCTCCCTGTTGTGATACAATAGACGTAAGTAATTAAAGTATGCTCTCCGTAATAATTTAAATTTTCAGGTGAGATGATCACTCAATTTAAATAGCCAAAAAGCAAAAAATATTTTCACATTTTTGATCAACAGAAAAAGAAACATTCTCGACTTTTAGGCGAGATGATCACACAATTTAACATTCCCAAATCTGGAGCTTTGATCTTTTTTAAAAATATTTAGATGGTAACATGTTTACCTCAACTGGAACCTTAGTGATAACTTCTTTAATAACCTCATCATCTTCTTGGATATTTTGTATACTTGGATTCAGCTGATTTGGGAGTGGAACAATTAGTTGATTTGGCACTCTAGAGTGCTCTGTTGAGTCGACAAATTGAGAATCATATTTCCTAAAGGAAATATTTTGGCCTCCATAATCATGGATTTCAAGAAGTCCATTATTAGGAAGAATTTCCCACTCAGTTTCAAGATCCATTTTTCACTGAATGAAATTAGCAAGGAGTTGTTACTATTGAATTGGTTTAAATAGTTTAGAATTCCGTGGAGTTCTTATTCTTTTGGCAATTGAAAAGTCAAAGAGAGTGAGTAATGTGGGATTTTATTGAGAGAAGGCACTCAACTCAATATGGAGGATGTCTTCTTGCTCTTTAGAGAGTGAATGTTGAATTTCTCCTCTTAGTTATGATGGTGATTGAGTCATATAGGTGGAAGCTTATCACTCTTTGAAAAATCAATAGGATAGACCACATATAAGGAGGCTAATCTATACTAGATATTTCTCTCAATTATTAATTGGATTAATTAATATATAGTCATTCTCATTAGTTCAATTATGTCATTTCGGATAAACTTGAACTATGGTGTGAATTAACTATAGATTTTCTTTATATTAGTGGCGTCTAATCAACTTGGCATACCTCAACTGTTCCATTCGATATTCAATATTTACTTAGATTTGAATTACCTAAGTTTTTCATAATTTTCGGTCACTTTTCAATATCTATTACTTACTTAAATTTGAGTACGCTAGTCTTTCATAATTTTTGCTCACTTCATTAATAGTAGTTAAGCCATACCCTTTAGTACAACTATAGAGTAAACAATGTTCTCAAAGCCCTTTTATTTCTTCTCTCTTTTAACTAAAGTGATTCTCATCAACGGTGTAATTATAACTCCAATCTCTCATAACATTTTTTTATTAGGCGAAATACATAAACAACTGACTCATTTACCATTTAGACACTTCAAGTAATTATTAAGTGTATCAAGTAAATACCCGAACGCTGAAGACTCTATACGTAAGCTACATTTGCCAATGACGTGTCAAATAAGCCAATTAAAAAACGACACGTGTAAATTGGAATAAAAAATTGACACATAATTAAAAAAAAAAAGAAAGAAAAGAAAATACATTAAAGATGAAAGAGAAACCATTTTCCTTTACTTTTGTTAAGACCAGTACTAACCCTCCCCTTCCCCCTTCCCCTCCCTTCCATCTTCTTCTTTGCAGCAATCGTGTCCCCCATCCCCTTTTCTTAAATCCCCCAACAAATTAATACTCAAACCAATATGAAATAACATAGAATAGCTAAATAGAGAACCACTAAGGATCGTTAATTGACCTCGCTGAAAAAGCACATTATGCAACCTTCATTGTCGAAAATTTGTTCTCCAAGTAAAGCTAGAAAACGATTCTACCGGAATCTTCAATCTTCTCTCTATTATTTTCTTGATTATGAATTTAGGCTTATATTACTTTTTTTCTCTCTACTTTGTTGTTTTTGGTATAAAATTATACTTTAAATTTCTGCCGTGAAAATGAAATAAGGTGGAGAAATTGTGTTTTTACGGTGGAGATGAGAGTGACAAGACTACTAAGAAAAATAATTGGTAGCTCTTGTTGCTGTATTTTTGTTGCTTCTTTCGCTGGGTTTGGGACTGATTTTTGGTCGATGGAACTAGGCGGAGCTCGTAATAGAGTTTTGTATTGAAAGGTGGTAGTTTCTGGTGGTTTCCGGTGGCTTAGTTAGAGCTCTAATGGCTGATTTCCTGGCCTCTATGGTGGTTTCATGGTGGGTTGAAGTGGTTTTGTTAAGAAGAAAGAAAGAAGAGAGGCTAAGTTCTTGGTTTTTTTCCAAAGAAAAAACAATAGGCTGAAAAAATGACTTCAGGCGCCCAAGACTTTGTTAGCAAACATGCATGTGACACATCAGAATCATGTGTTTACTTTATATACTTAATAAAGTCTAAATGAAATATGTGTTAGTTGAGGTATTTGTTTGATTGTTAAAAATAACTTAAAAGGGCTGTTTATGTATTTTGTTTTATTATTATTATTATTATTATTATTATTATTATTATTATTATTATTATTATTGTTGTTGTTGTTGTTGTTGTTGTTGTTGTTGCAAATTGTAAGAGGTATTTTTAGAATTCACGTAGTCCTTTTTAATTAAGAGAAGGTAGAAAGGAAGAAAAAATTAAAAGAGGCAAGAGTGAAGTTACCACACTCTATAAGTCATTAGATACAACTTAGGCCGGTTTATAGATAATGAGTTGTAAAGCATGAATTAATATAACATACTATTATTCATTTAAGACTCTTCCATTTTCTTCAGCAATTGATGTGAATGGTTTTTTCATTCTTACTTGTAAAGGCCAACGACGCAGGAAGAGAGAGGAGCCAGCTAATAATTAAGTACTTTCTTGGATTACCAATTTTTTTTCATTTCAAATTCTCAAGTACATCCACAATATTCAAGTAACTATGATTCAGATAAGAGAAATATTAATTAAGGAATTGAGATAAGTTTAGCTTTAACCTAAATTTAATTTTTTTAAAAAGTATTTCACTCCTATTTTTTTTCTATAGATTTTAAAAAATGATGTTAAATTAATTATTGAAACTCTAACTAAGAGATACACTTGCGACATTTCCATTAGTTTTATTTATATTAGGCGAACAAAACTAATGGTTATCTCATTATTACACTTATTAGTTTAAAGTACTTTAGTAGTTTCCGTAATTATCTAGAGTATACTATATAGTTTGAGTTTTTTCTAAAATAAAAAAGATAAAGTACTATGTAGACAATAAATTGCGTCAAGAAAATAAAATCAAGATTGAAAATATCGCAACAATTGTAGTATTTTATTTCGAATATCTGGGTGTACAATCTCTATGAATCCTCTGATTCTTCTTTTCAATAGTAAATAAATTCAAGGGCCTTTGAGCTTGATCTTGAATCTATATTTGTTTCCACGAACGATGATCTTGTTCTTGAGCTTGAGCTTGATTGCTTGAACTTGACCTTGATTTGTTCTTCGTTCTTGAGCTTGAACTTGATTTCTTGAACTTGAACTTGATTGCTTGAAGTTTAAAACTTGTAGAGAAATTTGCGGCGTTTGATCCATGAGCTCTCTCTTGCTTCTTGTTATAACTTCTGGTGTCTTTTCTGGGTTATGAAGACCCCTATTTATAGTTGTGGAAGGGAGGAGTTATGATAAGAGCAAACTCTTTCCGACCAATCAAATTGAAGTGTGACATGGTCGCATTTGACTGGCCAGAACATGTCGCTTGCACACGTGGCATGATTACATTGGTCTTTTAGTGTGACTTGGCATGCCTTGTCATTTTGACATGTGGCATGACCCTATTGGCTTTCCCGTTTGACTTGGCACGCCACGTCATTTGACATGTGGCGCTAAACTGGGCCTCTAGGAAGATGACATCTTGACTTAATGAAGTGAGCTCATCACTTTAGCACAATTAAATGGGCTACCCCAATGGATTAAGACTTATTTATTTAATTCATATATATTGAACTTATATAATTAATTCAATTATATTAGCCCATAATATTTATTTGGATCAGTATATTTAAAATATAGTCCAATTATTTATTGAATTTAAATTCAATAAATTTTATATGCCTAAAAATGCCCCATACTTCAAGACTTGTCACAGTATATATTTTGTTTATCAAAGACGAAGCTAGAAGTATCAACTCATATAAAGATTAGCTTTGAATTTGTATGCTTCTTACGTGGGGCAAATGTCACTACTTTTTGAATTCATAAATTATCATATTTGTCATGACATGGACAAACACTAATCACATTACTTTGTCCACTTATTTTGCCCAATCGTGTTCTTTAACAGGGAATATTTTCCCTCTTTTTACGCAGATCCTTGGACATCCCAAGTCGGATACATTCGGGTAATTATTTGGAATCGAAATGCTTGAGGAAGCATATTTGACTTCAAATTGGATACCTAGTGCCATTCCCAGTAGATATAGGGAAGCAATTTTTTTGCCACCTATACACATGATCCCACATCGGTAGTTACTGCACACAAGTCGTCCTTTACACACCTATATAAACCCTATGCTCATGTGATTGTTGAGCATTAATTCGCAAGCCACTTGAGTTTAGTTTTTTGGATTCGGAAGCATCAACGCGAAGGTAATTTCTTCTTCTTTTCTTATGTTTTTCTTCCTTTGTTGTCTTTTTTTTTTCTTTTTTATATGTCAAGCGAGAAAGATATGCTCTTGTTCAACAAGATGATCTATGCATGAAGAAGGCGGTCTTAGGGTGTGAGGGGATGGATACTCATCCCTGCCCAAATATCGGAGAGATTACTCTCAATGGCCCAACTATCAGAGAGATTACTCTCAATGTGGCTCGACTATCAGAGAGATTACTCTCAAAATGACCCGACTATCAGAGAGATTACTCTCAATATGGCCTGATTATCGGAGAGATTACTCTCAAAATGACCCGACTATCGAAGAGATTACTCTCAATGACCCGACTATCGGAGAGATTACTCTCAATGTGGCTCGACTATCAGAGAGATTACTCTCAAAACGACCCGACTATCAGAGAGATTACTCTCAAAACGACCCGACCATCGAAGAGATTACTCTCAAAATGATCCGACTATTGGAGAGATTACTCTCAAGGCAACCCGACTATCAGAGAGATTACTCTCAATGTGGCCCGACTATCGGAGAGATTACTATCAATATTCCCCGACTATCGGAGAGATTACTCTCAATGTGCCTCGACTATCGGAGAGATTACTCTCAATGTGGCCCGACTATCAGAGAGATTACTCTCAATGTGGCTCGACTATCAGAGAGGCCAACTTAAGGTGCAAAGGGACTCATATGTCCACCTTAAGATTGGAAAGTTATAGTTCCTTTTAAGGACAAACCCACGAAGAGGACAACTTAAGGTGCAAAGAGACTTATATGTCCACCTTAAGATTGGAAAGTTATAAAGCTTCAACTCGAAGACTTTATGGACTTGATGACGTCTACTTGAACACTTGGAAAACTTTGAAGATTTGGCGGACTTTGCAGACTTCAACCTGAAGACCGACAAACTTGAAGATTCGGCGGACTTTGACGTTTCAACCTAAAGAAGGACAAACTTAAAGATTCGGTGAACTTTGACGTTTCAACTTGAAAAATTTGAGGGCTCAAATATTTCCACTTGAAGTCCAACGAGTTTGAGGACCTCAACTTGAAGACTTCAACTTGAAGATTTGGAGGGGTAAATATTTAGACTTTAAGACCGACGAATTTGAAGACTGAAACTTGAAGACCGACAGATTTGAAGACTTTAGCTTGGAGACTTGGAGGGCTTAAATATTTCAACTTGAAAGGTGGAGAACGTGAAGACGTCAACT